AAGTTGTTTTGGGCTCAGGTGCCGGGCTGCAAGCTGGCGATGGAGGTGCTGGTGCCCGTGGCACTGCCGTGGCTGCGGGCAGTGGTAGGTGCCCGGCTGTGGCAGGGGTCCCAGTTTGCCCGTCGGAGCCCGTCAGGGGCTGATCCCGGTGTTAGCCTGGGTTTAACCTTTCTGGCACGGGATGTGATCACCTTGTTTTCCTGCGTGCACAAGCTTGAAAGAGCGAGGCCTTTAACCCGCTGAGCCGGGTGGAATTTCGTGGAATTCTGCTGCCGAGCGACATCCTCGGTGTGTGCGAGCGCGGCTGCGATATATGGCGCTGCACACGCAGATAAAACCCAGGCTGTGGAAAAGTTGCTGCCAGCGAGGAAGAGAAAGTAGATATATTTCATAGCGATGGTGTCGTCATCGCAGCTATATTTTTCTGAAGTTGACATAAAACCTCTCCAGTGACAACAAAGGTGTGAAATATAGTTGGTTTGAGTGTGAAAAAAGCAAAATGCAAAACACAGGAGCACTGACGTTTGGTATCTTCAGCGCAGCTTCTTAATATTATTTATGGCTTTTACCATCTTTTTTAAATTATTTTAATCTTTTTATGGTTTCAGTCACTTTCTCTGAGCAATGTTTCTCTTATTTCTGGAATACCACGGCAGAAAGTGCTGCGGCTGAGCTCTGCTTTGCTGCACGGAGCCGTCCGCCCGCAGCCCTGGGCAGTTCTCGTGGCTGAGCAGGGCTCTGGATCACAGGAGGCTTTTCGGTGTAACACAGGTGGGTCGGAGGATGCGTCCTGTGCCATCGCACATCAAGCATCTGGGCTGGCATCTGCAGGCACCTTGGAAATGTTTCCAGGGGAACTCGGGGTTCTTCTACTTGAGACTATCTGGCCTTGCACTAAGAAATGTATTTTGCCAGATTTTCTCTCCCCTGGGAATACCATAGTTTACTGTTTCCTACTGAAAAAAATCCCTTTTTGTGAGTCCCTGCTGGAGCAGCACGGTTCTGCCGGCTGGCCGGGGTCTGCTCGGCGCGACACCGAGCACCTTCCACTTGTTTTACTTCAGCTGAAGGCAGCTGCATCCTCTGGTAATCAACCCCCAAATATTTTAGCTTCTAATTAGCAGATGCAGAAAGTCCCAGCAGGTAAAATAAGTCACGTGAAGAGGTGGGCTCCTGTTCAGCGCCCGCCGCGTGTTACTGTGGGCAGGGGCAGTCCCACGGCTGGACCGGGCTGGAGCAGCCCGATGGTCTGCGTGGCCATCGATGCCATGGGAGGACCCCGCAGCACCGCCGGATGCTGGAATGAGCCATCCTCTCACCGAAACCTGCTGCCGCCGGAGGCAGCGAGGTCAGAGCAGAGGGGAGCTCCCTGGCACCTGCCTGGGTGGCACTTCTGCTGTTCTCCTCGAGAGCGTGCGAGCCTCAGCCTTCATCCCTCCAAAGTGAGACTTCGGCATCTCCATCCCAGCCCATTCCTGGTGGTTAGCTGGAGCTGGGCACGCATGTGGGGCACCTGCCCTTTCCACCAGCCGAGCAAACCCTCTCCCTTTGGGGCGCAGGCTTGGTTGTCAGCAGCGCTCTGGGAGATCCTGGCGCGTCGTTTCGGTGCCCGTTGAGTGGCAGATGGATGGAGCGAACCGACTCCTTCTCCTGAGCAGATGCTGGAGGAGGGTTTCTCACCTGACGGTCATGAATACGTCTCACCTTCCTTTAGTGATGGCGCTTGACTCGGAGCCTCTCGTTTAGGGGCATCTGTTTGCCTCTTATTTTATTTTTTCCCTCTTCTTTGTCTTTTCTTTTACAGAAAAGATTATTCAAATGAATATTCAGTTTTATTCATTTGAATAAAAACCCAACCGTTTGACTCTGTTAAATGCTTATCTCTTAAATAGAGCTTGTTAGCTTCCAATAATAGCTTCATTCAGAAGGATGCAGTATAATTTCATTTTAAAACGTGTGCTCCTTGACAACCGGAATCCTATTTATGTCACCGTTTTAAACAGCCGCCTTTGTTTTGTGTTAATCTTTTTCGTACACTTTCCGAGAACCATTTTTTTGTTGACTCTTAGTACCTCTCAGAAGAAATAATTGTCTATTTAGTCCAGGAAGGTTTCTAAGAGTTTTGGGAGTTTAAAAATGAGCGTGTATTCATTATGCCAACTAGTACGGCGTGCGTGCGGAGATGTTTGCTTGTATGTGCACTTATTAGAAGTCGGAATCTGATATTCAAAAAGTGAAACATAAAAAGGACTCATTATCGGTCATTTTTAGGAATTTTTTAATTCTGGGGCACATGATCTCGTGGAGATTTTTCATTTAAGGAGCGATAGCGTCTCTTGAGCAGCATCCTGTTGATTTGGAGTGCCCGTGGGCGTGCAGATTAGAATCCTCTGTTTGCTTCTCAATCAGTTGAAAGATGATGATAATCCTAAAGGTAAAACACTGTGAGCCTTCGGCGACGTCGGGTGCCCTGCGCCACCCTGCCCGTCGGCCGGCTCCGGGGAGGAAGGAATGAAAATTGGTGTTGGCTTTTCTTACAGACCCGATCCCGTCTGGTTTTTCTTGGGGAGCAGCTGGGCTGGCCCGTGCGGAACGGCACGGAGCCTTCAAAACCTGCAAATGAGTGGTGACACCTATGGATTGTTACTTTATTCTTGTTAGAAAATCTGCAAATACAGAAAGCTGGGTGGCTCTCTGATTTAATCAGACAAATAATTTCTCGATAAACCTGTGTTTAAGCCATATGGAGTGGGAAGAGAATGGGAAACTTGTTTCCGAGTCCAAACGAGTAATGGCTGCGGTGGGCTTTCTCGCGGTGTTCTGCACATTAAGGCTCATCTCCTCTGAATTCCCTCTCCTCCGTCCTGGCAGCGAGACCTGACAAAAGTTGAAAGTGAAATCCTCAACTGCAGTACTCGCTAATGAGTTACTAATGATGAAGATGTTGCTGGTGCTCAAACAATTAATGACTTGTAGACCCGGACTGGCCGTCTCATTGCGCTGGGCAGAGCTGGTCCCCGGCGACACGCTGCTCCCAGCTCCGGTAATTGCCCGACTCAGCATGCTCCGGGATTCCTGGGATGCCGTGTTCAGCCAGTTAACCACAAAAATTTCAGTTTTAACTACAGGTCTATTTAAGGTGGATTTAAATGGAGTAATTTAGAAGGCAAATGAAAGACTCGAGTTAAGTAAAATACTTCAAGCTGCTACATGCTTTAAGTGCAAAGTCAAACAGTGTTCTGAGCGCTGGGTTTGCACGTGATGTGCTGTCGGATGATATGTTATGCCTCGGAGGAGACCTAGAAACCATTTCTGGTGTTTTTTCCCCCAAGA